GGTCTGTTGCTGGATTCGGGGGCGTCCTTTCCGTGCTCCCCTTGCCGACCTGCCTTATTGTTATTATTATTATTATGCTGTACAAAATTTCTCAAGTATCCRCRAYGGATGAGTCCCTYTATCTYRTCCYRGAGATTATTACACTGTTCGGTACTATGACCGTGATCTCTATGAAAACTACAGTATAGATTTTTATTTCTTTCGTTTGGATTCCCCTTTAAGCGAGGTGGCCACTTAACGTATGGGGCGTCTTTGATCGTCATCAAGATCTCGGTCCGCCTTGTGTTTAACGATGTATAATCCGTCCGAACTGCTAAGGGAGCTCGGGACGGCTGGCTCGGCTTTGCCTCCCGGGCCGGGTTTCTTCTGTCACCTGGGTTGGAGGGCTCACCTTCTCTTTTCCTTTTCTCGACCCCGCCTTCGGTCCTTTGGTTGATCTCTTCCTCTGTTCTCATGAACTTGTCCGCGAGCTTGAGGAATTCGGCCACGATCGCGGGCTGGCTAGCTACCATGTGCCATTTAAACTCCTTGTGCGTTACTCCTCTCTTGGCCGCCGCGAGCTGTACCACGGGGTCTAATCATGGTATTTGCAAGCACACTGCATTGAACCGCTTGATGTAGCCCCGAATGGATTCTCCTTCTCTCTGGACTACTCCGAAAATGCTTTCCTCAGTTCTGGGGCACCGCTTGCTGGTAACAAAGTGTGCGGTGAAGACCTGCACGAACTGGGTCCAGCTTCTTATTGACCTTGGGGCTAAGTTCCTGTACTAGGTGCGGGCCACCCCCCTGAAGGTGGTGGTGAAGGCCACGCACATGCATGATTCACTAGCCCTAGCGAGGTGCATTTGGGACTGGAAAGCATCAACGTGGTCCTTGGGGTCAAAGGACCCATCATACTTGTCCAAAGGTGGGAGCTTGAGGTCTCTGGGCATGGGGACTGCCAGGAGTTCTGATGCGAGTGGGGAAGGAACTGAGAGAATTGGGGCAGCTTTTACCTCGTCCGAGCTCGTCTCTTCCTTACCTCTGAGCTCGGGTAGGACACGGGTGGCAGTTCGGCGACTTCGCCGGTGCCTTCGTTGAGTGAGCCTGGTACTGGCGCTGCTGGCCTCTGTGTTGCCGAGCTCGATGGGCCCGGAATGTTAGTAGTCTGCTGCTAGGGCGCTGAATCGGTTCTCTATGAGCGGGAACTCAGGCTTGGAGCGCCGAGGTGCTGACTTTGCGGGCGAGGTTCCCGACCTGCCTACGGGCTGCGAGGCGGTGGTGATTTTCCTTTCCCTTCGGCCTGGGGATGAGGCTTGGCTGTTAGGGGGGTTATGGAGTTGGGAGGCTTCTCCTCAGTGAGGCGTCCACCCTGAGGGGAGGCCTTAACTAGCTTCGGGGCAGGGTGCCGAGGTGGAAGCAGTGACTGGTTCAGGGGTAGTTGGGGGAACTGCTGCTGATAGTGGTGTTGAGAGAGGTGGTGTAGTACTTGGTGCTGTTGGAGTTGGTGCTGCTGGAATTGTTGCATTTGGGCTTGCATTGCTCGAATGCATTGCATTAGGTCGTCAAACTGGTTCTGGCGGGTTGCCAGGGGGACAACAGTTGGTTCAACAAAAGTTGTTTCGATAGGGAGTGGAAGAGGGATGTTCATGGTAGGAAGGTTTACAGGCGCCACTGTTTGTGGCGCATTCAAGCTAGGGATCCCATCCACCGAAAGGGGAATGGTGAACTGTCCGATGCACACCATGGGGACTTGGAGTTGTTCCCCGATGGTGTTTGTCTCTGTGCCACGTCCGACATTGCTGGAAGAAGCCATGAGTGTTGGGGTTTTTGGAAGAAGAAGAGGTTATGAGAGTTTTAGAGGGAGGCTTTTAGAAGCGTTTCCCATAGACGACGCCAATTGATGGTGCGCAATCCGGCTGGTCCTAGCTGTCAACGACCTTGCCTCTGAACGGAGCTACAGGGAACCTAAAACGGAGAAGAGGAGGAAACTTCGGGGGGAACCCGGTGAGATTGCTCCGAAGCTCAAGTYAGAATTCTCTCAAAGGCAAGATAAAACCAGATGGCACAAAGTTCACATACCTTGTTCTTGGCGGGGTAGGGAGCCTTTTATAACCACCTCGTGCACTCACTTCTAAGCTTCTGTCAGGTCGGGTATGATTATCTCTGAGCTCCTGCCAGTTCGGTTGTCATCCCCTCTACTGGACAAAACCGCCACTGCTCTCTTTGTCGGAGCCGTCTCTGCGACTGGCGATGACGGTGGCAGGTGGCCGTTGAAGTGCGGCTGTCAAGTGTCAGACCCCAAGTCAATCAGGTGCGCCGCCCTTGGATACGGACCTCCTTGGTGTTAGGTATAGTACGTTTGTTCAGTTCGGTGTCCTGGAGGCAAAGTGCTGGAGTGGTGAGCGAGGTGAAGTCTTGAGTTCGGATAGGGAGTGTCCCGAACTGCCATGGGGCAGGCCAGTTCAGGTCGTTGCCCTGTGTGAGGCTCAGGGCCTAAGGAAGAGTTCGGGCTCCTTGTAGGTAGTTCGGACTCCTACTAGGGAGTTCGGACTACTGGTTCCTCCTTTCGGTACTCGCGCCTTGGGCGCGCTGGTGTGCCGAGCTATTGCCTTTGCCACGTGTTGAGTGATTACGAGATCGGGCCAAATCTTCCTTCAGGGATTTGATATAAATGGAATTAATGATTATTTAAATTACATTTTATGTCCATATATAAGTATGCAATGGGAGTCCATACAACGACAGGTTCGGTAAATCATAAAAAAGGCTTAATCTACTTTTTCTTAGGTGCTGCTCACAATCAGTTGGTCAATCTAACGGTCATTGCGGAGAATATTAGACTTTATAAGTATTTAGCTTTCCAGCCCTTCTATTCTAATTTTTCTATTTTGTCTTTTGCAATTTCATATATGTTTCTTCTGATGTCCATCCAACACTGATGACTAAGATTGCCACGATGACAGGTTGGTAAATCATCACAAGGTCTTCTACTTGTTGGTTCAATCTCAATCAGTTGGTCAATCTAATAGTCAAAGTGGAGAATATAGACTCTAATATATATTTAGCTTTCCCTTCTTTTCTATTTTCCTATTGGTCTGCCTTTTGCAAGCATTAGTTTCATGTTTCATCCGACATCATGGTTACACCCGTGAGTACGATGACCACAATGGTATAAAAAAGATTCTTTTTCTTCTTCTTCTTGTCTGTTGTCTAAATTTTTATATTCAATCAATTCATCAATCTAACAGTACACTAAAGTATAAACTAGTATTTAACTTCCCTTTCTTTTCTATGTTTCTATTGTGTCTTTGGCCACAATGGTTACATTGTATAAAAAAAATCGAGGTGCAGTCCACCAATAACAATGGCTACGCCATGACTACACCGATAACACTGCTGTCTAGGCTGCAAGTTAAGCTGGGATAGGTCGGATTGTTTGAGGGGTCAATCTCAATTTAACCCAAAATAAAATCGGATTCAAAAATTTCAACCTTTACCCTAATCCGAACATCAACCTTACCCAATTCAATCTGATATTTTTTGCGTTGGATTCAGGCCAATCAGGGCTAAGTTGCAGCCTTACTGCTGAGTGTTGACAGGTTGTTAAATAATCATAGAGGCTTTTCCTTTTTCTTATTCTTCTTCTTTAAGCCATGATCATCGTACTCACAGGTGTTTCTTTAAACTTGAGTCCAATGCATTTAAAATTATTTAAGAATTCAACCAAGAGTTTATATATATATATATATATATATATATATATATATATATATATTATATTATGATGATCATCATCATTTTAATTTGATGCGCATATCATAATTCATCTTAGTTAAAAGCCAAGCTAGCACTTATTATTTCTGATACATAACAAAGTTGTTAAGCAAAGAAACACCGAAAGGAAAAAAAAAAAAAAGTTGACATATGACAACCTGAAACAACCACCCAACTTGAGTCTTGAGATATATGATGGAACTGACATAAAATCCCAAGTAAAACAACCACGATAAGCAGCAGCAGCAGCATCAGCATCATCCTTTAATTTTCATCAATCTCAATTAATGATTTCAATGGCTTGAGTTTCCCCTTGTACTAGTACCTCTTTTGCATTTTCATTGACAAGTGGTTCCGCGGCGGTGGAAAGCGGGATCAATCCCTTCTCTCTCGCACATTTTACGGCCCCAACGTACATGTCCTCCACGCTATACTTGAACTCGAACCCTAAGCTTCTAATCTTTTCCGACGAGAAGCGGACGGCTTCCAAACTTTCATCTATGCCCTCGAACCTGTAATTGATGATCGCCATTAATTTCTAATTATTACTAGATCTAATCTACTGCATATATGTATAATTTTATGGGTTGTATCTATATATAATGAGTTGATGGGGATGAAGCTAGGCTTACTTGGTGGGGATGTTATATTCGGGAAATTTCTCTTTTAACATATTTGCTAGGCTATAGATGGTGGCCTGGTCAGACGAGCAAATGTATCTTCCTTTGGCTTCTGGGTGCTCAAACAAGTAAATGTGAGCGTTGCAAAGGTCATCCAAGTGCACGAATTGAACTTGCTTTAGAATTGAGTAGTGAGATTCGGTTCCTGAATGAATGCACATTAATTCAGTTAGTTACTATAATAGTGGAGTTGAATTAATGAATTGACAAGGATATCGAGTATACTTTGTGGTGAAAAGGTCGATTAGCATTAATTAATTTAATTACCAGTGATGAGGGCAAGTGCAGTTATCATGCTTGGTGGCATCGACGACATGATAAAAGGCCCAACTACAAGCGTTGGTATGATGCTGATAAAATCTATATTGTTTTGCTCTGCAAATTCCCAGGCTGCTTTCTCCGCCAGTGATTTGGAGACAAAGTACATCTGAAGACACAATACCAAAGAGTTTAGTTGCCAAGTCTACAAAATAATGCAACTGTTCCAATAACGAATTTGGCCAAAAGATGGGTTCTTCAAAAAACAAACAAAAAGGAGATGGCCTTTAACTTAAGTTCTGATCCATTTTACTGAGGTCTCTGTTTTGTGATTTTGTCCTATTTCTCAAATAAATTAAAAATACATGGCAATGCAGTGTTTTTGCGAACCCCCCGATAATACAACAAGTGGGGCTTTTCTTATCTTTTTTTTCAAACCAAACACAGACTAAGAAGAAGATGAGAACAGCGAGGGAGGTAGGTGGCTTGTAAGTTGTAGCGAGCTATAAAGTGGGGGCAGGTAGTCTTTGACCCAACCAACATAATGCATGAGGGGCGTATATATACCATTTGGATAGGCTCAGGTTGAGGATTTGAATGGGCCCAATGATGCATAAATTCTTTAAATTGGGTATCCCACATTCCCAATTTCACCCGAAAACCCATTTAGGAAGGTAAAGTTAAGTGGGTCGGCAACATAATGCATGAGGGGCGTATATATACCATTTGGATAGGCTCAGGTTGAGGATTTGAATGGGCCCAATGATGCATAAATTCTTTAAATTGGGTATCCCACATTCCCAATTTCACCTGAAGACCCATTTAGGAAGGTAAAGTGAAGTGGGTCGGCATGGATTGGTTTGAATTGGATTGATTTAGAGTAGGTATAGGTGGATCATACCAAACCATCTACACCCAAGTACCTAACCAAAATGCCACCCGTCTAGAGTCAAGTTATGAGCTTCGCCTTTTTTTTTTTTTTCTCTTTTCTTTTTAGAAATAGAAATTGGTGGGTATAGGGACAGGGACCATATATTGAATTAGAATGTTTTTTTCTTATAAGAAGGGGAAATGAGAAGCTAACCCATCCAGTCATTTTGGTTCTCCTGCAAAAGTCGACATCACTCCATGAGCTTTCATCATACTCGGGCTGTTGGTGTTCTTGAACGTTTACAGTTCCTGCAGAGGATGTGAATACAACCCTCCTAACAGTTTTTGCCTTGGCGCATGATCTCATTATGTTCAGTACACCCTCGATACATGGCTTTATCACTTCATTCTGCAAAACCAAATCCAACCAAGCCAATCCGTTAGACATCTCCAAGCAAGTGGTGAGTTTTCAACCCCAGAAAATGAGAATACTATTTCGACACAATCCATTTTTGAATTCTATGAGTTGCATAAATCTGTTTTTTTTTCTACTAGAACTCCTCTGAAATAATAAGAATCCAAGCATAAAAGAAAATGATAATGAATCAAGGAGGCGCTCTATTCCCTAAACTGACTGTTAACTTTTTTCCTTCAAGGGCCTTCTAAAAAACTTACTGCAAACTAAATTTTAACTTGGGAAATACATCTAAACATTAATCTCTCAAGGAACCTTCCACCTCAAGGCTTAAGATTTATGATATTTATAATTTGTATAAGGGATAACATGCTGTTTTTCCACATAAACCTGAAATAACAAAAAAAAAAAAAGTTAAGACATTTACTTTTCTCTCTCCTCATCACGAATTCACATCAGCGCCTCACAATGCCCCACAGCACATCCCGACCTTGTATTGGGAATATCTCCCAATGATAAGTATAGGAGATGATGAGATATCATCAGGTGATATTCTCAATACAAGGTCGGGATGTGCTGTGAGGTGCTGATGTAAACTCCCCAGGACCCTCACATTTTCTCTCTCCATTTCCATACATTCTCTATTTTCTCTTTTTTTTTTTGGAATGTACCTCTCAATTAATTAATTGGGATTTCATCCTCACAAAACTGTTTTCACACTGTCCTTATAGTCCCATAAATAAAAAGTATACAAGTAGAGAGATATTCCTAATACATGACTGAAAAAGACCAAGAGTGGTGTGAGGATGAAATTCAAGTTCCCACTCAACTAGTTAACATGCAATGCTCTAATTTCAAGTCTGGACACAAGGTTCCAACTGGTTGATTGGTAAGGTTTCTAATTGCAGCCAAGACTGAGGATCATATCCCACCCGCACCAGGACTGAGGGGTTATGAGTTTGGATGGACTACCCCTGTTACGTAGCCCTATGAAGTAAAAAACAAAGAAAAAAGAGATGGGTATCATGTCCGGACCGCCATGCAAACAAGAAAATAAAAATCTGATCCATTTGCTTTTCTCCCTTAATTTTTTCTTCTTCTCTTGGCACTGTGTTCTTTTCTCTCTCTCTCTTCTAGTCTTCCTCACTCTTTTCTAGCGACTTTGGCACCCAACTTTTTAATAATTAAATCGAAAACGCAAAAAAAAAAAAAAAAAAGACTGTTGATATGGAGAGAGTTCCTCAATCCTCATTTGTTTTGGGTTTCAATTGGCAATTAAAGAATAGCTTCTATCAGCTGCAAGTTGGCCATCCTAGAGGTAACAAAAGACCGACATAATGTTTTTCAAAACGCGAAATGATCAGATTTTGAGGATTAAAAAAGTCATGGATATGTACGTGGCCCAATAAAAAAAGATTATCATAAATATGAGCGTTTAAATGAAAAAACCAAATACTGAGTAGCATGAAAAGAAATAATGACATTCCGAGGGCTTTGATTTTTAGGTATGCAAGAATAATTAATAATGCCCTAACCCAAGCCCCAAGGTCGTTTTCCCTTCTTATCCAAAAAACATAATAAAATTAATAAGTGATGCCCCAAGGCCAAGGCCCCCTGACCAGCTATTTCCGGTGCTATTTATTTGAGCTGCTTTTTATTGGTATCTCGTTTTCTAATGATTTGATGCGTATGGTGATACTTCACATCGTTCCAAACGAATGAAGCGACGTGGTGCTTGATCCAGTGATCCCAGACTCCGCTCGGTGTGAGGAGAAAATCTAGAGAAGGAAGGTTTCATTAGTTCAAATTTGCTATCATACTATCCCCCACCAAGAAATCATTTCATCTAATTCAGGACGCAAACGTCTTTGGCCAAAACAACTCTAATACTCGGAGTGAAAACTTTTCCTCATCAGACACAGTAGATAGAATCGTCTTTCCTCAATCGATTGGGTTTATTTCTAGAAAACTAATAAACTAAAGTTGTTAGTTAAGAAAAAAACTTTGCCAAATGACAACAACTTTATTATATTTAAAACAACGATCAAAGTGCCTCACGCTTAACGCTTCTATCAAGAAG